CCCCCCCCCCATCCACCCATAGGGGGCTCATTTCCTAAAGGGACCCTGCTGAGATCTCCCCCTCGTTTCAGGGGGGGTCACGCACTCTGCCCTTTGGCCCTCTCTTTTAGAACTCCTTCTCTTCACTCTGGGGGCTTCTCTCTGTGCCCCCTCCCCATCTCAGTGACACCCCCTACCTATTCTCCCCCCCACCCACAGCACCGAGGGGGCACTGACGCCCCCCCAAACCTCACCCAGCCGTGGCGGGTAGGAACGCGGCACCCCGTAATGACAGAGGGGGTGACAAAGGAGGAACCAGGAGGTTTATGGGTGGGGAGGGGGGGAGCTGTGCTGTTCTCCCCCCCGGCCCCCCCCCCCTCCCCACAGCCTGATGCTCCCCTCCTGTCCTGCAGAGCGCAGCGGCACTGAGCGACGGTAGCGCCCGGCGCCGGCGGGGACCGTGCTGGCCTCAGGCAGGTGGAGGATGAACGGCGACGCCGAGTGCCCTGCAGACTTGGAAATGACAGCTCCCAAAAACCAAGGTGAGGGGCGGCCCCCCCCCGACCCCCAAACCTGTGCAGTGTGACAAGGTGGGGGTGGCAAACAATCGTGGGGATGCTGCAGGGATGCCGTGGGCTGCCCCGGTGGGTGGGGGGGGGGGGGGGAGGGGGGGGGGTGCCGGTTTTGCCCTCAGAACGGCTCATTTTAGGTTGGCACAAAGAGCTCAGCGCCCAAGCCCACATCTGGGCTGAATTATGGCCATGCTGTTACCTTGGGCCCCCCGGATGCCAGAGCCTGCGATGAGCTCAGAGCAGAGCTGGGGGGAGGTGAGGAGAGCAGTGAGGTGATGGCAGCGGGGGTCCTGTCAGCGCTGGGGGGGCTCTGCCATCCCCTGGTGCCACCCCTACCCCAACCCCGGTCCCTCCTTGTTGCCGTGGGTCAGGTGCCCCACGCGTGGCAGCACAACGTGTCCATTGCGTCCATCGCTGGGTCTTGAGGTGGATTTAATTACAGCAGGGCAACGTTCCCAATATAGAGCAGCTCAGTGGTGCCAGCAGAGCCGGGATAAATCCGGCATGGGACGCAGGCGGCTCCATTCATCCTCATGGGGGGGGAAGGGGCTGGGGGGGTCCCAGGCAGGGAGGTGGCACTGAGGGCTCAGGACCCCCCGCCCCGTGTCGCTGCAGCATCCCTGCGCTCCGACCTTGGCGGAGGTCAGAGCCCGGTGCTCCCCATAGCAGCAAACACAGCGCAGGGCTGCGTCGCCCCACACGCCGTGGGTTTTTCCTGGCTCCTGGGGCTCTGTGTCCGTGCTGGGGCAGCGCTGTGCCCTTATCTGATGGCACGCCAGGAGGAACGAGTCCCTCTGGTTTGCAACCGGTGCGTTTTGCAGCTCCTGCCTGCAGCAAGTTGCTGGGGGGTGATGGAAAGAGCCACCAGGTCCCTCTGGTCTGTGATCTGCCGCACGTGGATGCGGCCAGCAGAGCTGCACACTGGGAGCTGTGGTCCCTGCGCTGCCCTGCGCTGAGCTCCTTTCTGTGCCCTGCAGACCGCTGGTCGCAGGAGGACATGCTGACTCTGCTGGAGTGCATGAAGAACAACCTGCCTTCCAACGACGGGAGCAAGTTCAAGACCACCGAGTCCCACCTGGACTGGGAGAAAGTGGCTTTCAAGGACTTCTCGGGGGAGATGTGCAAGATGAAGTGGATGGAGATCTCCAACGAGGTGAGTGTGCCGCTGCCGGGGTCCCGATGGCCGTGGGGTGTCCTGAGGGCTGTGGGCTCCTCCAGCCCCACCGCCTGTGGGACGGGTTGGTGGCAGTGATGTGACAAACCGCCCCCCACCAACAGGTGAGGAAATTTCGGACCCTCACGGAGCTCATCATGGATGCTGAGGAGCACGTGAAGAATCCTTACAAGGGCAAAAAGCTCAAGGTAAGCCGTGGGGTTTATTTCCCCCCCCCCCGACGAGGGGATCCTGCCCTCACCAGGCTGGGGGCCGGGTTGGGGCTGTCGCTGTGCCAGCCTGTCCCGAGGCAGCTCGGCGGCCCTGGGCCCAGGCCAAGCTCAGGGTACATTTCATACGGCCGGACGCTGCGCTGGGAGCTTGCATCCAAGTTTAGCAGCAGGGGCCCTATTCCTGGCCTGCCGGGCTGGGGGGGGCTCGTGCTGGGCAGCCTGGGGCACTGGTGCTGTGTGGGGGTGGGGGACGTGGCCACCTCCTGCCTCAATTTCCCCCTGTGCCTGACCCCAAATGTCCACTTCTGAGCAGGCAGCTCTTGTCCACGGTGTCTCCTTCCCTGTCCGTGGGCTGGGATCTCCCTGCAGCACAGCACGGGGAGCCCAGGGTGGAACCCTGTAGTGCCAGGGGCCGGCTGGCTTTGGCTGCATGGTGTTTGGATGCTCGGCGTTCACCCCTCTGCCCTCTCCCCAGAAACACCCCGACTTCCCCAAGAAGCCCCTGACTCCCTACTTCCGCTTCTTCATGGAGAAGCGAGCCAAATACGCCAAGCTTCACCCCGAAATGAGCAACCTGGATCTCACCAAGATCCTGTCCAAGAAATACAAGGAGCTTCCCGAGAAGAAAAAGGTAGGGCTGGGGGACCCAGCCGGCTCCTTGTGCCACGTGTGCCTCCCTGCCCCACGCCGGGGACTCCAGCTCTCCCAGTACAACCAGCAGAGCCCAGCTCCTGCCTGGCTCAGGTGTCACCCGGGTGTTGGTTCCGCCCCGTCGGACCAGTCCGGCTCCCTGCCCTGCTTCCCAGGACTGCAGGGTGGGGGTGGAGGTTCTGTCTGTCCGTCCATCCGTCCCTTCCAGACAAAGCTGGGTGGTGGCTTTGCTGTGGGGTGGGACGTGCTGGGATTAACGAGGACCGGCTGGCTGTGCTGGCACTGGGACAGTCACCTCGGGTCAGTTTGTCACCGGCAGCAGAGGGCCGGGGTGCAAAGTCCTCCGTGTTGCTCGCCCACATCCGGCACCTTGCCAGGGCTGCCCGTGGGATGGGACAGGAGATCGGGGTGGGTTCCTGGCTCTCGGGTTGGAAACCCGCATCTGGGAGCAGTCCTGGGCCTGGAGCCCTTTAGGGGCAGC